ACGGTGCACAAGCATACATAGGCATTCATGTCGAACAATCATGAAAAAGCGAAATATGGATGGAATGCTACAGTTTGTCTTGTCTAAAAAATTGAAAACCAATCTGTGTGCAATCACTAATGTATCCAAAAGATTAGTGAAACTAACAAACCAAACCCAGATCGGCATATATCCTGAAAAACGTCTCAAAATTTAGCGTCTACATCGATCATTAGCTGAGATGAATATTGGTTAACATATGGAATCTACAACGCTACAATTCATCCGCAGTAGACGACCCACGAATAGCACAAATTATGTACTCCACTATCGACCAATATTTAGTAAATGACTTTACCTAACATTTTGTCGGTCATCCTTACAATATCTCTCTTAGTGACAATCATTAATAGATAACAGTCATCTTAGGTCATGATGATGACAGGTAATCGTTGCCTTATAGAACTAACTTTGATTTACTATTCAATACTTGACATAAATAATAACATGACATAATGTATATTTCTTTTCATTAGATTAACCACAAATGTGAAATCAAGGAAGAAACCATCATGTACATCAAGTTTTAGTCAACACAGCCAGAAGCACACATATGTATACATATGTATGTCATTTTTCACAGATTGGTATTTATTCACCAATCAAAGCAGAAGTACTGATCAGTGCGATTTCGAATTTCAAGATGAATATAGAAAGGGAACAAAATATCGCAGCCATCGACGGAGCAATATCATAATTCCAAAGAATCTAGTCTACTTGAACAGTTCCATGAACAGATCCATGAACAGTTAAATGAACAGTTCCATGTACATTTCCATGAACAGTCACGTGAAAATAATCCCGAACCCAGCAATATTGTCTGATATAATATCAAACAAAACATGGAGTACAAAAATATTGATGCCAACGCATAAATTGGATAGAAGAGAATATATCGTAATTTACCAACTGTTATATGACTCACAAATATTGTTATCTGTGAAATAAATGAAACGCACGCATTAGTTTGAACCTCATATACAAAATAACTCTGTATAAACAAGTCTATCAAATATCATATTCAATAACGGACATTCATAGAACAAAATAAAATAACTAGTGACATTCCTGTGAATTCGTTTGAAAGAAACTTTGAAGTTATTGGCAACGAAAGTCACTAGGTAACCCTTAACAAAATATTTCGTGGATGAGTCTATATCACCACTGCATTTAGAAACGAATCACATTCTCACAAACTATTACTCGCAATGTTCTGGCTTGCACACATGCAGCACAGTGCATTCTATTAAAATGATGTTGAGCACTTTGCCACAAAATAAGATGAATTCTACTGAAGGGACAGCTTATTTTATGATTGATAGTAATGCAGTGTAAGTCAATAAAATACAGAGAGCATTGAAATATACTGAGCTGGGTGAATTCATTGTCTGTCGTTCGGTTCTCTCCAGATGCTCACAACTTGCAAGTTTCGAATACAGAATTACGTATTGAATAAGAATAATTTGCATTAAAGCAGTAGTTGAAGTAATCATAAATCAGTATAGTATAAACAAGAGGTTCGAAATTCTTGAACAGAAACTGTCGACGCATAAATTATGCAGTAGAATACTGATAGGATTATAACAGAAGTCAAGGGTCAAGTGATAACATAACGAATAAACATTGAAATTAAGGAAAGAATACAACGAGTCAAACGCAGCTGGCTAGAATCTTGTTCATTGACTAAATGAACACTCAATAAATAATTTTTTTCGAAGAATGGGTTGAATCAAAGCTTATGATCCAATGAAGAGGTTTTCATATATAGTACTTTTTGAAGACTGAAATCAAGTTTCACGCGCAAAAACAGTGTTTTTAACAAACCGCGGAGGCCGTTATCTTGGCTTTTCAGTCATTACCTTTAAATGTGATATTTTGCACTCAAACGAAGTTCTGTGAATGAATTGTTACATGCCTACGCGCCTATCTTTACAAAACTTTTCAGTTTACAGAGACAGTGAGCAGGAAATGGAACTGGGTGCTTGTAGAAAAATTGCTGGAATATAGAAAATGATGTTCTGAGGATTACTGACAGCTTGAACTGTTAAGCACCTGAACCAAACCAAAGAAAATAGAAAATAAATTTATGTCCTTCGCATCAAATCTATGTATATGAAAGAAAATGTACACGATTATAACTCACAATAAATAACAATATTTCCGCTACAATGTCAAGACCAATCACTGCTCGCTGAAAATCAATGAAAGCGATTTGGTGAATGTATACTTGTGAAATCGAATATGTATACGGTTTGAACAATACTGAAACATGACTTCGCGGAAAGATGTGAATAAGAATTTTGTGGTGATCAATTAATGTTGATTGATATTTATTGTCAATACAGGTTGCCAATTTGGTATTCAGGAAAATGATCGAAATAGTAAAAGACTATCTAATATATATACTTATTTGCTGTGTTTGCCGAAAGCACTATGAATACATTGAGCTGAGGTGCTACTGAAATCTTGAATCACACATATGTTCATTGTGTCTTCTGAATGGTTGATCGTACCCACATATACCAACGTCAGAAATCTTCCAAGATTAACCTCAGACAATCGAATCCAAAAAACTTGACAACAATCATACCAATAGGCGATTATCTCAGAATGTCTGAATGAAGTCGAAAACTCAAAAGGTCTTCTTACCTAACATTTCTTACATTCAATAATTTGCATTCAGAATTGTTAAGCTTGCAGTTTTACAATTCCAAACATCAATATGCGATTTAGGATTCAGAGATCTTAAAGCTTAAACAAATGATGGCTTGTGTTTTATACATGTAAAATATAAGAGTACTACATAATAAACAACGAAATGACATAATAGGCAAGTTATTTACAGCACTTCGATACCATTATTTTTAAAGAGTTGAGTACTATCGAAACGGTCTCAATTACTGCCCATACGACATCAACCGATAACAGAATAGTTACTGATTGATCTACTAAACTTGTCTTGATTGCTGCGCCAATGAGCAATGCCGATATGAAGATTACCAAGCTGATTATTGAGACACCAAGAGTAGTAATAGCTCCTAACATCGTATTCGAAACGCCAAGTACTATAGCCATGCATGTGGACTGAAAAATGGAATGAATTTTATAGTTTATATAACGTTGTCTCGACAAAGAAGAATCCACTTCATTATCAAATAAAAGAAATTAAATTCTTCCTCAACATATTAGTAAAGACAGTAGAATTTTGAAATGAGATATCAATGAAAATCAATCTGAGCTACGAGATAACATGATAAACAAAACATTATTTTTATGGTATCGTTGTTAATAGAGTTTGCAGCTAAGTTAATAATCTCTTTGAGACAAGCCGCTGTTGTACACACAGATGGTTTGTCATTTGATGCCACGTTACAGCTTCTTCCGCTCCAGCGAAATAAAGAATTATAAATTAGGGAAATTACATCAAGTTCTCCTAATTGGTTGAAAATCAATATGTTGATCAGTCGAACGATTGAAAGTATAGAAATGCCTTACAATGCTTCTACTAACCAAATTTTTCCCATCTCAACGGAACCTCAAAATATTTGCTTTCTTATCCATGCTGAAATCAATCACCCGCTTAAATAAGTTTACCCCTCCTCGTGAAAACAATTCGACTGACAGATGTACAGCTCGGCTACCAGAAAAGCGAGAGTAATGTATACAGATCAAACAAACGGATATGTATCAGAGAAGTATTGTTGCTGAAACCTAAGAGAGAAAATTTTCAAGTATAGTAAATGTTTCATGAGATTAATGTTTCAGACTTATATGAAGATAAATATTTTGATCAAAAATTTTAGCAATCTTTCATCTGACTCTCTTTCATGATGTTCTGTTAACGGGGTCTTGTTAATCTGTCGTGAACCAACTATTTTCTTCACAAATCAAGTCCAGCTGATATCAATTGCCGATTAATGTACAACGTGCATCTGAATGAACACTGATTCTGAAAATTCCGCTTTAAATATACAAGGAGTACTTCGATGTATTTCAGTTCGAAAATTGATCAAAAATTCAGGTTCACAAATACATTCCGTTTCTGATAAACAGTTCTTATCAATCGTGTAGTAACTCTTCTCCCATACAAACAGTCAAACATTCTCGATTCATCCACATTTGTCAGTGATTCTTACATAAATTATCACCAGATCGACGTTCACAGAATATTTTTCACTATACTTCTTTACAAACGCGATCACAACCGCTACTACTAATGCGATTAATCTACAAAATAGAACACAAATCAACAACGCTTAGTTTTTACAATGAAACATAAATGATTTGATTAAATTTGAATGTGCTTCTGAAGAACAAGTTGAGAATAATGCTGTGTTGACATATTCAACCGATACATTCAACTTTCGTCTCTTAATCGTCACAATGATTGTGGTCACATTTTTTGGCCGTATCTCATTATTATGTTTCGAATCTCTTATAAAAACAATGCCTTGATGACAGTTATCACCCATTATCATTTCCGTGGCTACACGGTTATCGCGTTCCAGATATCTTCCATGTACTTATCAGTTATTCGTACCTCGAAACTCTTGCAGCCTGCTAAGTTAATTGGAAGTATGATCGCATACACATGCATACAAGCAGCAGTGTAAGCAGTTGAGCGGAACTCCTGCACAATGATACTCGCATGCTTTCTACCATCTCAACGCAGGCATCGGTTCGCAAAGCTATCACAGGCATACGTTTGGAGTCTTACGCTCAATGGTAGTAATTTATGTTCTTCATATGCATCTAATGTTCATGCATTGCATTTCTACGTTGCGTTGTTACCGAATTTTTCAGAATAATTTCGATCGCAATTTCTTCACCTTTCTGTAGCCGCTTGATTTTTCGATGAGCCTGGCTGTAATGTTTATACGTTTGTCGGATTCCTTCTTAATTGTTAACGCCTGAACGATCATAAATATTTTGCAGTATTAATATTACACTTTCGTAATGTACACTTGCTCGTAATGTACTCTATTTAAAACCGATTTTTTACGCTAACAAACGCTTGCCTATTCAGTGTTATTTTCGAAAACTGACATTTTAAATTTATGTTCAATTTTCTACAAGGGGGCTTTGTATTGAGTCATTCAATGTCCAGCTCACATTACTTGTCGCACATGTCTTTTGACCTTATCGTTCATTCGTCGCTTTCATTCTTGTATGTGCATGCTCACTCACTTACTACATGTCTTTCTTAATTTTGTCCGAGTATAAATTCTAAGGCATGCTTTTTTTCTCGGAGTCGGTTCACTATCCTTTTTCTACTTGCTCCATCCATTTGAACATTTGCCTGCTAGTGTGTCTGCCCAGTCTGCTTGTGGTCCGCTGATCCATTTTGTGGCGTGCTAAAAATGAACAAAACCGACACATCGTAAATGCCTTCCGATTTATAACCAACAGGTGCTATTCGGTGACGATTTCCTAGACGAGCTAATCATGAAGTTTAAGAACAAGTTGAAACTGGCCACCACAAACTCATGACTATGTTAAACCATATGGAACAGTACATTCTAAATATGATATGTTAATCAAACACTGGTTTTATTAATTTCAGTGAAATTCTTATTCTATTCAATAATTAAACAGATAATAGGTGATATGAAAAGAATGTCAGAAAACTTACGAAGATAAACCAGCAGTAATTAACTGTATATCTTCAAGAGATATATATTTCGGAGTTCTGAAAGAATTCCATAATTAACAACTGAGAGTTTTACATTAGAGATAAGATGATTACAATGATCGATGTGTTGATTATTTGTATTGTGGTGAGTTTGAGGACCTGAAATCATGAACAAATGTTAATCAAAACGACAGAGTACTTTTCTCGTGTATGATGACATCACCAGTAGACGATCAGGTTTCGGTAACTCATTCATTGTACATCTTGAAGTGTACGTCCACGGAGTATCCGGAGCAACAGCAGACATAACTATCAGAATTGCCCTATCATAAACAAAGATATTACAAATTTATATCAGTCTTCAGGTTGAAAAAAGTAATTTAACGTTTTGAGAAATCTGGATAGGAATATTTTTCTCTCTTTGATTGGTAAAACAATCATATTTTACAAAACTGTGAGATATTTTCCCGCACAAATGAATAACTTATGTTTTCAGAGTATAGCATAGTCAACATCCATAAATGATTCTCAGTATCGAGAATTGATGTCTGTATCTATTTTACACAACTTGAGCCTAATAACCACATCATTATTATAAGTAACGATATTATCTTACTTACTCGTGCTTGTTACTCGTAAAACAGCAATGTCTGTCAAAGAGCGTGCTACAATCTGCTCTTTCCTGGAACAGCTTTTCTAGTTCTGATGAATACCCATCATTTCTGCTCATATGCATCTCCAATTCTACACATCATAGGTTTTTCGATCTTTCTCGAACTTGGAGATCTCAAGGCTTGTTTCATGACGCAGTTGATTGATTTCTTGAGTGCGTGCTCTATCCATCACCTACAGCGTTTCTTCAATTGGATTCTACTTTGGCCTCAGGCGCAATAAGTTGACAGTGATGGTGTCTGGATAGAAGATCGAGTTATTTCGTAATAACAGCTCTTAATAAGTAAATTTCGCTCCGGATGAAGTCTTTCGTACCTATCTATGTTTACCATCGACACTGTGTAACTGTTTTGAAACTTGTATTGAAAATTGTGACTTTCGTGTTGATTGGTATTTCCTATGAATAACAGATACTGTTCATTTTCGGGAGACGCAGTGCTTGGTTTGCCAATCGGCACCTAAACATTTTCAACAGATCCACTTTGCTCACCAATGATGCTTCCTTTATATGTGAACGTGTCTCCATCTTACAAATAATTCCATATTGAGCGACTTGGTTCGTGCTTGTTGCGTTGTATGGAAGAATCTTGCTTATTTGTTTAAACACTGGGTTCTGAAGCTGCTGAGGCGACTGCATTCCTTGTCGCGTGTAGGATAGAACAACTGAATATTCTACAAAGTTCGAAGGCTTCCAGCTCCATTCAGGTTTTCTATTGTTTCACGTGCTTACACACATGGCGTTTTCAAAATACAGTCGATCACCAGTTCAGAGAGGACGGGTGAAACAGAGAAACTTTGCCGTGCAGTGATCTTTAATTGAAACGAGTTTGTGAGCTCTCTTCCGTGCATTATTTTGCAGCTTGGTTCAAAGTAATAGTATTAGTGAAAAAAGTGGAATTATGGGCCAACACTATTCTGTCTTAACGAAAAATGATTAACTGTCTCACTGCCAGGTGCATCCTGTCTTTTCTACATATTAATTGTCGTCGTCCACAATTATCATAACACTCAAAAATCATTTGATATGAATAAAGAAAAGAGCGAATAATAACTTTTCTTGAATAAACTCACTCAATTACTCTTATCATAACTCATCTTCTCTCCAAAACGCATTTATATAAAAATGACCTATGCACCTTTATAAGACATAATACACAAATAAAAATTTCAGTTAGGCGGTGTGCTAGATACTCTTGAATAGACACCAATCATTTATATCTATTTTTTACAGAATAAACAACACTCTGAAACAAATATTCACAAATTCCTACATTAGGCATTAAGCCATTTTTAAATAGATTAAAGTGCATTTACTTGTTTGTGCAGATATTTAGTGCAGTCAATATTCAATAAATTGATAATTACAGCCATACCGCTACTACACTTTGTTACTTAATCAAAAACTTTAAAATCTCGAGATTATGAGTAACTTTCTACATGACAAATTCCACTTGTCAGTGACTTCATGGATTTGTGCCAGTGCCAAACAAGGAATGACATCTTGTGAAATGTTCTTCCTAGCCAAAAGTTGCCACAGTACCAAACAAACTGGAAGATAATGATACTGTTCCTAATGATAAATCTGAATCCACGTGAATGAAATGCTATATTAGGGTTTTTAATTCTCGCAAGTAAATCTGCTCTTATGAAGATGTATCATTTTGTCATAGAAAGTGGTGCATACTACTCTAAATATGACTGATAATTAGTATGGACCAAAGAGTTGCTCAGAACGTACCGAAAAGAAGAGTATCGGATCCAGTGCAATTAAAGTAAGTTAATGACTGATAAACACAGGGAAGAAAACAGTAAGACATTCATGTTTTGCAGATGAAATCTGTAAATCGACGTACGATTTCTTCACTGGGGAATGGTGTTTTCTCAGTTGATCGATTATTCTGTCTGATCCTACAAATTTTGCTCAATACAATGGCGAGCGATTAAGACTGAATGTTAGTTTATTTGTTCCGAAAGTGACGATATTTGTTAGAAGTAAGTAAAAATCATAAAGTCACATCAATGGATTGATCTAGCACTGCGATACGATATGAATTTGACGTGTGATAACGAAAACAATGTGCTGATGCTTTGAAAGTAAACATACAAAACAGTCAACTGACTACTGAATATGAAATTTATATTCTCATTTTTGAATACTACTACAGACCGAATAGGAGTAACGCCTTATAATTGCATGAAGTGAAACAGTGTCTTACAACTATGCCTAATGTTTAATTCAGTTCAGAATCGCACATATAGTTTTCGGTGATCTAATCCTTATACAGTAGGCCGATCAGATATTAAATGCAATAGTGATAATAATTTGAACATAGACGCCAAAGTATTATCGTAGTACAACTTTCAACAAATTAACATCTGGAAGTCTTTGAATATATGAGACATCAGCTTCACTTGGAGAATATTGCTCATCTTTAGGAATTATTATTTGACGTATGACGTATTCTGTCGAAATGTGATTTCAAAATTTTGAGTACACAACTGGAAAAACACCTGCAAGTCGAAACAACAATCAACACACCGAAGTCACCACTAAAAAATGTAAAGACGGCTCTATTTATTTACAGTTTTCTACGCACAAAAACTCAGTACCAGTGGACAGACAAAGTCAGCAATAACCTACTATGGTAAAAAACCAAGCAGATTCTAACCGACTAAGAAATTAGTACAGGAAGTGGATCAAATTGCGAAGATCTCTCGAATGCGTGTTGTTATTTGCCCTCCACTGTAGCCCGCGTAGTCATAGGAACACGTTTTGGCCAAGAAAACTACACCTCAAAAAATGAACACAGACTTTAGAGGATTGAACATCATCTGGACAGAACTGAAAAAGGAAGCACAGGACAGAGGGTGTTGATTGATACTGGTCGAAGACTAATGCTTCATCGGGGCTCACAGAGTAAATAATAAGCATGTCATCCGACAACAAATAAACATTGCATTGTAGATGAAAATGATTCTTATCTAAAAATCAAATTGGGAGAATAAAAATAAAAAACCTGTGGAGAAATACATTTCTGAGGCTTGTTGCATACTATACAGTGCTTGAGAAAATACTAAACATCATGAAGATTTATTCTAATGAACTTAACTTCAAGATCGTACATGCAGAACAGCTCACAGACGCGTTCGAAGTAATGATCAGTATAATGCGAGGTTGCAATCTTTCCTCCGTCATCTTTGCCCCAGTCATATATACATGTGAAGTTTTATATGACCTCAACACTTTACTCCCGGAGATTTCGATCACACTTTCGTGTTACGTCAGAATTTAAATACTGAATATCAATAATTAATTATTACGCATTAAATGCATATCATTTAATTAGTGTTCCACAACCATAAAGTACTCCACAATATACTCACTAACATCATACGTCAGCAATGTGCAAAGGAGTATATCACGCTCCAACTGGTATTTTGTAGTTATACTTACAGTCGATGATTGTGATTTAGGATCAGTCAATTAACTCACTTCACAGTGCTTCGATCCCAGGATTGTCCAAATCATCGCCTGATATACTAGTTCATGCATCACTAGTTGTAGTCTTATCGTCGTCATTTGAGCGTTCGAAAGTCAAGGTCAATGTCCACTTTTTATTTTATATGATATACATAACATGTGAAGTTGAAGAAACATTACCTTATATAATTTGTGGTACATTTTTGTTTTCAAATTATGTCATATCTCCCTCTCCAGCGTTAAACATAATACACTGGTCCTACTTTTACTACACATTTGTTAAATAGATGCAGTCGTTTGTTCGGTGAACTCAGTCCTAATTTCACACTGAATGGTCTCTGATGCATTTCGGAATTAACACATTCACAGGAACAATGAAAGTGATCTTTTGTGGACAGCAAATACTCGCAGCATAGAAGTTTATGAACAATCACTTCAGAGTGAGTGAGTGCATTGTCACATTCATGTTTTATTCCTACGATGAGTCAGTCGGTCATGTGATGTACAACCTGCCTCACGTGTATTGGATTATTCTGCCTGAGACAATAGACCTATGGATGATGTGTACTGGAAAAATGCTGATGCATATTAAATAATAAGAGCATTGAAAAACAGAACAACAGCGAGTTTATTATCAAACCACGTGCACTTGAAAATCACAATGATCAAGGTTTAGGTATCATGCCTAGACGGTTGACAAGAATGCATCATGTACATCTTGAAGTGTACGCCTATGAAAAAGTCGGAACCACATCAGATGTCTCTGTTCGATAAATGGTATCGCACACATATTTTAACGTTCCGTTGAAAAATCCTACAGAAATATAAAATGACATGTTAGGAAATGTGAACAGGATTATTGTTCTATACTCGATTGTGGAAACGATTATATCTTTCAATGCTGTAAGGCTGTAAGACGCTTTGCATCAGACATGAATAAATTTAAATGATGAGGTAGTAATTAACTACTATTTACCCATCCACGCCTGTAACACCAAATGGGCTATTCTTCTCATGTCTTTCTATATTTCTCTGTATAAAAGTGATATTTAGCATTCTCCTCTTCTTTTAAGCATGAACGTTTCAGGGTCTGTCTTGTCATGCATTTAAGTGGTATCCAGTTCCATCGCTTCTCGTTGACTTCCTCCTCCACTGGAATCTGATTCTTTTTCTCACACAGTAGATTGATGCTGACGATGTTTGGCCAACGAATCTGAAGTATTTTGCGTAGTCAACTGTTAACCAATACTTGTATTTTCCTAATAAAAATCAGATACACCTACTGTTTATTGATTCTGCCCAAATATGTGAAGGTTTCTTCATCCTATAACTCTTCGCCGTCTAGTGTTATCTGGTTGATGTACGTCAGGTTTATCAGAAAAACTAACTTTTAACGTTGTGTATGCTGAAACCTTTTACTGCTGAAGAAGCTGCTGCACTGGTTGTCCTTTCCTGCGTTTGTTTTTGCGTATGAGATAGAGCAGTCAGAACATCTGCATGGTCCAAATCGTCCAACTGCATTTGAAGCGTCTGGTTCTACTCGTTCATTTACTTAGATGTTGAAGTTTTCACAATCTAGTCGATCAGCAGGAGAATGATAACCGCTGTCAGATATCAACCTTGACAGACACTGACCTTTACTTGAAACGAATCTTGAACTAGCCTGAACGAACCACTTCGTGATCTGATCCAACATAATGGTCATAATAATAGTGGTAAAATAAAAAACCACTCTAAACTGTCATAAGCTTTCCCGTATATGGTAAACTGACTCACTGCCAGTTTAGAAACTTCCTCTTCTGCGTCCTCATTTCCGTTGTCCAGAAAAAACGTACTACTACGAAATCATTTTGTAGGAAATGATCAATAACAAATACCTAACTATTACTGAAAATACTCACCTACTCATTGACACAAAATCTGTACGTAATAAGTTTGCCTCTTACAAAATCTTTGGTATATAACAATGACCTATGCACTTAAATGACAGCTAAGTAAACTAAAATATACAATGCAATAGGCAATCAACCATTTCAACAAATTTGTGATCGAATCGTTATTATTATTGTTGATTCGTTTTCGATAAACTAATCGCTTTAAAACAAGTTATTGTCTGTAAAATGTTCACAAATTACAACAGTCAGGTCAGATCCAAGCTGTTATGAAACAGATGAAAGTGTATTTATTTGTTTGTGTGAATAACTGTGGCAATCGATATTCACCGCATTTGCGAATTCGAGGCTAATTATCTATCAGTGAGCGATTGTTTTCGAATTATTCTAATAATACGCATGTGATATTTTAAAGGGTGGCATTATTGATATGTTGGCCCAAGTGCTTTAGCAGAATCTCAACAGCGATTGCAGAAGAAATATTTATCAGCACCTTCAGATGGAGCATGAAATGATGTATTTCACAAATCTACTCGGGCAATGTACTCATTGAAATTACACATTTTCAGTCAAACTAATAAATGGAACAAATCAGTGGTCAACAAATAGAAGCCTGATACTCTCGCATCAACAAGAGAGTATTTTCAACAAGGTGTGGCTTCAATTATTTCAACAAGAATCCAAGCAGTTGTCTACGTAAGCCTTATATCAGTGGTAATATCACACTACCGAAAGAAAGACTTCTGAATTTATAGAATAGAATAGAATAAAATATTGCTGATGTATAGATTATTCTGCTCAGC